GTATTTGAAGATGTTATGATCTTGTATAGCAAAGCCCAAGAATCCACTAAAAACCATTACTACTAATAAATAAGTTTAGCAAGATTTCGGGGTCCAAGAATCTATATTTATATACATAAGTGGTGAAATTTCAAAAATCAAATGAAGAATAAAGTTTTATTTATAACAATAAAATAAGAAAATACTTTGGAATACATTTAACAAAAGAAGTGCAAAAACCTGTAATCTAAAAAGTGCAAACGTTATTGAAAGAACTAAAATAGAATTAAGTAGATGAAAAGGCATTCCATGTTCATGGATTGGTAGATTTAATATTGTTAAGATGGCCATACTCCTCCAGCCATCTGTGGTTTTAATGCAATGGCTATCAGTATTGCAACTTGCTTTTTGGTAGAAATTGACAAGCTGATCTTAAAATTCATAGCAAAACATGAGACCTAAAATCAACAAATGAGCTTAAAAATCAAAGTTGCTAACAATACAGTGTAGTACTGATGCATGATAAACAATAGATTAATTGAGTGGTATTAAGAGTACAAAAGAAACACACTTATAGGCAAATAATTTGTCAAGAGTACTAATAAAATTCAGTGGAAAAAATTAGTCATTTTTCAACAAAGGTGCTAGAATAACTAAATACACAAAACATTGAACTAAATACACATTGAAGTATCTGCCATATTAATAAATTAATCTTAACTGAATAATAGATCTAAATGGAAGAGCTAAAACTCCAAGAACAAAGGAGTAAATCTTCATGGTCTTGAGTTAAGCAAAGCTTTCTTAGAGATGACACTAAAAACACAAGCGACTAAAGAAAAAAAAAAGATGACCTGAGCTCATTAAAACATAAAATTCCTGCAGTTCAAAAGTCATCATCAAGACAGGGGAAAGATAACCTGCAGAATGGGAAAAATATTTCCAAACTAGACTACTATTTAGGGATTTGCATGCAGACTCTATAAGGAACAAAAAAAGGTAACTCAGTTGAAAATGGACAGAGTCTGCATAGCCATCTTTCCAAAGAAGATATTTCAATGACTTGCAAGCACATAAAAAAGATGTTCAACATCATTGATCATTAGAGAAATGGAATGCTAATCAAATTATGAAAAGATCCTTGCAAGGGCACTTTGAGTGAAAAAAAGATAAACAGTAACAAGTGCTGGCAGAGAGTTAAAATTGGAACCTTCACACATTACTCGTGGGATGTAAAATGGTGCAGTAGCTTTGGAAAACAGCCTAAGGTCTCCTCCAAAGATTAAACATAGGGTTACCACAAGACCCAGTAGTTCTGTTTTCAGACATATACTCAAATGAAAACTTGCTCACAAAATACCTTATTATGTGAATGTTTATAAATAGCCAAAAAGTGGACACAGGCCCAGATATCCAGCTCTGATGCCTGTGGTACAGTAGGCTCCTTTTATCTTCAGGGATCTGCAGGGGCTCCTGGACCACTGGTGGATGCTGAAATCTTGGGTTGCACTGAGTCTCATATGCCCGTTTTGTCTCACCGGCCCTGCGGCGTTGCACGGTGGTTCCAGAGCTAATCTCTCCTTCCGTGTTTCACATTCTGGAGGCTCTTTTGCATGCCTGCTCCTGGCATCATCAGTAAGCAAAATAAGGGTTCCTGGAACACAAGCCCTATGATTCCGGGACAGTTGATCTGGTAGCCGCAATGGCTGCTAAGTGACTCTCAGCCAGGCAGCATCATATACAGTGAGGGTACTTGGACAGAGGGATGGTTTCGTCCCAGGCAGGACCGAGTGGGAAGGTTTCATCTTTCACCATGCTACTCAGCATGCCGAACAATCACAGACTTCTGAATATTTTTCATTCCTGTAATTTCGCATTTACTATTTTCTGACCCCAGTTGAGCACAGGTAACAGAAACTGCGAAAAACAAAACCACAGATAAGGGAGGGCTACTGCACATCTATACAACGGAATCAAATGAAATAAAGTACAGATGCCCGACACATCACAGGCAATCCTGGAAAACATTATGCCGAGTGAAAGAAGCCAGTCTCAAAAGACCCTAGAGTATGTGATTCCATTTATGCGAAATGCCCAGACCAGACCAATCAATGAAAATGTAGACGTAGAAAACAAACCAGTTGTAGCTGAGGGTTGGCAGGGCTGGGGGAAGGAAGGACTGACTGCTAGCCGGCAGACAGCCTCCTTTCAGGGTGATCAACATGATTTAAAATTGATGATGGTCACCCAACCTGGTGAACATACTAAGACTGCCCTAAAAAATCACCGAATTGCACACTACATAGATTAATTGCATGGCATTTGAATGACATCTCCAGCAAACTGTTAAAGGAGAGAGAAGCCAATTGCCTGGCACATGAATCTTAAATATTTTCGGGAGCCCAGTCCTCGTGGGAGCAGGACTGGGGCAGAGCGGTACCCTGTCTGCCTCAGGCTGCGGGACAGTGCTCTCACAGGCCATGCCGAGGCTTTCACTTCTTTTAGGATAGAAAAGATTAAACTTTTAGATGAAGAAAATATTTAATTCTTAACACATTCACTTTTATGCTAGTGAGGCTATAAAATTTTTATTTTAGTTTTTGTTTTTATTGAACTGTACTTCCTGCCTGCCTTCTCTCTCTCTCTCTCTCTCTCTCTCTCTCTCTCTCTCTCTCTCTCTCTGTCTCTCAGATGCTGAGGACTGAATCTAGTGCCTTTACCCTGAGCTACATCCCCAGTCATTTTTTATTTTATTTTGAGACAGAGCCTTGCTCAGTCTCTAGATCTCCCAGGGTAGGTTTGAACTTGTGACTCCCTTGGCTAAGCCTCCCAGTGTGTATTTTTTGAGACAGCATTTTGCTAAGTTCCCCAGGCTGGGCTTGAATTTACAGTTCCTTTGCCTCAGCCCACAAAGGCAAAGGTGCCCCCCAACCTGCCTGTTATCATGCCCATGGTGCTGGTCTGAATTTGCTCTTTAAATTTATCTCCTTGGAGCTTTGAGAAAACTGTAAAACATTAGATAAAGTTCTAAAAAAAAAAAAAAAAGTACTCGCAATCTAGCACAAAACTTTGTTTTCTTTCTTTTTTAACTTTGTTTTCCTATCATTGATGGTCCGCAAAAAACTCTTTGGAGAGGTTACAGTCTTGGTACCAGTATCTTTCTGTGCAGCCCAGGCTGATCGCTTTGCTGCTCTGAGTCTTATTGTTTTCACCCATAGGGGAAAATGAGGGTCCAGGGCAGGACACAGGACACAGGTCAGCATGGACCTCAGGGAGGACAAACCTGTGAAGCCACTGTGCAGGTGTCTGCCCACCTGTGGCCTCGGGGTCCTCTGATAGGAATGACAGGATGCCTGTCGTGGGATGAGTGGAGGGAGGAGGCCGCTCCTTGGCTGGGCACTGGAGACCCTTGTGATCTGTCCCTCGCCCTCTTTCCTGCTCCTCGGCCCCTATCTGCCTTTGCATTTATGCGGGGCTGGCAGGACAGTCATGGGTCTCCTCTGCGAAGAGCTCAGGAAACTCTAAGCAGACACTAGGTTGAGAGTTCCGGGAAGCTTTCAGATCTTTTTTTCACCCTCTGATCCAATCCACTTTGGTTCTATTTCAACTGACTCTGTCTCCTCTTTGAGATCTGCAGTGACATCTTTGAGCCAGCGGCTATCAGCTCACACTCAGGTTACCCCAGTCTGTGTCTCAGGGGCCACCTGCGACTTTAAAGGAAGCTTGGAGTAAGGCAAGGGCTTGCCTGTCTGGCTGCCCTGTGGGGCGATGGCTGCTGTGTGGGGTGTGGTGCGCAAGGCCAGCTTGGATTCCCCCCTGGAAAACCTGAAGTTTGCATGCACAGGGGATGTGTCTCCTGTTTTCACATATTGTAGGACAAACAAAGTGTGCTTGGGAGTGGGCTCTGCATATGTACTCCTCTGCACAAGGAGTGGTCTGGAGACCAGGCAGGTGGTGCCTGTCCCTGTATCCTCAGGGAATATTCAGGGCTAGTCTGGGGGAAAGGGCTTGGGGAGGGCTGAAGATCAGAGGGTGCTGGCAGTTGTGGTGAGAAAGGACGGGACCCTGAAGTCCCAGGAACTCGGGCTACACACTGGCTGCTGGTGTGAGAGAGAGACAGAAACCAGGAACGATGCCAGGCTTTGTTCCGGGCCTTGGGAGGGTGGAGGTGCCATTTACTGGGCTAGGAGGTGTTACAGTTGGTATAGCCCCTGCCCTGACGGGTTTGCAGCTTGTTGGGGAGAAACATCAATGCAAGGCTGAGGCAGGAAGATCACAAGTTCAAGTCCCGTCTGGGTAATTTAATGACATTACTGAGGTTTTGTCTCAAAACAAAAAAGAAGTTGAGGATGTAGTTCAGTGAGAGGACATTGAGTTCAATCCCCAGGACTACAAAAGAAAAAGAAAAGAAAAGAATCTCATAATCAAAGCAAACTCGAGAAGGTGGCTGGACACCCCCACTGGGAGAAGGGAGAAGGGAGAAGGTCAGGGTTCCCAAGAGTTACCCAGGGGAGGTGTATTCCACAGAGGGCAGAGGTGTGAAGGGCTGGGTGGGACGCAGCTACCTGCCAGCCTGGAGGAGCAGGGAGAGAGGTGTGAGGTGTCGGGTGGGCCGCTGGAGGCCAGGCCTGGGTTCACATGTGGGCCTTTGGATTTCCTCCTTATTGGTGTCCTAAAGGAGGCGCGAGCTTGCCATCAGCAGCCTGGAGAAGGGACCGGAGCCACAGAACACAGGCCTGGATGACGGTGTGGGGGGCTGGAGCTGGCCTGCAGCTGTGCCTGGGGACCAGGGGCCGGTGGCAGGTGGAGGCCGCTGACTGTCGGTGGGCCTGGAGGGGAGGGCCTGCTGCTCACCACCTGCCGCTCACTCATCAAGGCACCCACTGCTAGCAAGAAGGGTTCCAGCACTTCCCTGAGTTGGGCTAGAGACGCAAGCGCGCTGGGCACCAGGGAGGGACAGGCAGAAGCCCGGAAGCCCACATCTGCCCTCGCGTTCTGAAATCCCTTTTTTTCTTTTCAAGGTGAAAAATGCCGCAGCTTCATTGACTTGGCTCCAGCGTCGGAGAAAGGTAAGTTCGGCTGGCCCAGGGGCACCCCGCCATGCCCTTGTTACCCCCACAATGGCTTCCCTAGCCCTGGGGGGCAGTGTTTCCTCCTCCAACCTTTCTAAGTCAGAACTACTGCTGCCCAGTGCTGAGTTCCTTGCGGAGGTCATGGGGGTGCATGCGCCCTGCCCACTATGGGTCAGTACGACAGTGATGTCAGAGCTGTGCAGGGCTACAGCTGGGTGATCTCACAGCTCAGGTGGTAGACACAGCAGTCGGGATTAGGTTTAGCTCCACAGCTGGCTTCAATGCAGGAAAACCCTGACATAAAAGTTTGAATGTAGGCAATTCCAGGATCAGTGCTGCATGAAACCCTCAGGACCTAGACCCCTGCTGCCCAGTCCCATCATCCCATGGCTTTTGTCTTCATGGTCCAAAATGGTGGCTAGAGTACCAGCTGTCACATCTGCATTCCAGGCAGTATGATGGAGGAAGGCAAAGACTTCAGGGCAAATGTAAAGCTCCCAGAATTTGCCACCCAACACCTGAATTTATCTCCTGGACCAAAACTTACCACATAGCCACCTTCAGCTGCAAAGGAGCCAGGAAACATGGTCTTTAGGCTGGCAATGCTGTATCCACTTAAAAGTCAGTTTTTTACATCATGGAAGAATCAATGCAGTAGGATGCCCTGCCACAGACCATGGGGAGGGTGATGGTCATGTCCTCACCTACCTGCCCCCTGCCATCCAGGAGAAGGACCACTGAGAGAGGGAGGTGTGTGAGCCTTTTCAAATGGCCTGGAGATTCAGTCAGGGCTCTGACCCCGAGAGTGAGGAGACAGGAAACAGAGGCAGGTGTCCAGGGTGCTTGACTGGGGTGGATTCTTAAGTCTAGGACACGTGGTCACCCCTGCCATGTGTGGCAGGTGGGACGGGGCTTGTGCAAAGGCGCAGGAGGCTGTGTGCCACGGTGGCTGTGACCTTCCTGTCTGTGGATGATGTGTCCTTGGGGAGCCGGGCCAGTGGTCATCTGGGCCTGAGGGCCAGGCGCCTGATGAAGCAGGCTGAAGGGCCAGCTCTTCTGCTCCCTCGGCCGCTCCATGTCGGTGTCCTGTGTGGCTGCTGCGTGGCCGCCCCTGAAGCATCTGATTGAGGAACACAGCCCAGGCACACATGTGTGAGCACGTGCGTGGGCCCGAGGTGCCTGTGTAGGCACGTGTGCACACGTGAGCATGTGGGCACCTCACATGCCTGAGTGCACGTGGGCTGTCTGCACGCCTGCGCCTGTGCACAGTGGGTGTGCACGCCCATGCGCGCGTTGGTGCATGGCGGCAGGAGCAGGCCCCTCAGGCCTGGCTTCCTGCTGCTTTCTGGAGCCTGGAGCCCCAGGGAGTGCCTGTCTTTTGGCTTCACTGGCCTTGTGATTTTACTTTTAGGGCTTGGCAGCCGTCCTAAGGACCTTCTGGCAGTGGAGATAAAACGTTTACAACGTGTCTGCGCTGCTCGCTGGGACACTGAGTCGCAGGAGGCTTTTCACAGGCTTGTGGCCTTCCAAGTGCCTCAGTGCTCCCTTGGTGGCCAGTCTGCGTCCCAGATTGCACCTCTGCACTGCAGCACACATAGACCCACCCGTGGGCTCCGGGCCCCTGCTGTCCCCCGTTCACAGATGGGGTGGGACGGGCAGCTTGTTCAGCACCACCCGTCCTGGAGTCGGGGAGTTGGGTTCACTCTGTGACTTCCTGCCTGGTTTCTAATCACCATCCAACAAGCACCTTTACCTGGTGCTTACCGGGCTGGGCACTGGCTCCTGCACACACACCGACTTGTGTCATCTGCCTTTTCCGGGTGGGGAAACTGAGGCATGGAACGGTCACACAGGGAGGAGGCAAGGAAGCTGGGCTTTCTACTGAGCACTCTGGCTCATGAGTGCAACGTCCTTCTGTAAAAAGACAGAGTCAAGGGACGTACGTAGGACGTATCCTGGGGCATCTCTGGGGACCTCACGGCTGAGTTCTGGAGGGTTCACCCTGCCTTCCGCGCCCTCCTTGGATCCGCTTCCAGGCTCCCCCTTCCCCAGCCGCCTGCGCCTGCTCACTTGCCTTTCCCTGGGCGAAGCACATGTCCTTCCTCTGGTTTCTTAGCACAGAGCTTTGCCAAACCTTTTAGTGTTGCTCACCTCACAACCATCTCTTCCCTGGATTGTGCTGCAGTCTCTTAACCAGTTGCCTCCTTCTATTTTTGCCTCTTGGTTCTCTTGGTAGTTAAGAATGATCTTTTTAAAGCGTAAATCATACCACAAGATACTCCTATTTAAAATTCTCCTGGAGCTCTCATCATGCTCAGGATAAAAGTCATTTTCTTCACTGTGGCCTAAAAGGGTACCACCTGACCCTGTACCCAGGCTGTTATCTGCTAACTCCTTCCCCTCACCACACTCCAGCTCCAAAATACTTGCTATTCCTTGCATCAGCCAAGCTATGGTGTGCCTCAGGGCCTTGGCACATGTCATCCCAGCTTCAGGAATACTGCTCTTGTAGAATTCACACTATCATAATCATACATTGTTATAGAAGTTCTAAGAAGCCTTAAGTATGTGCACTAGAAATTAGAAATTCTTATAATCTTACCTTTTGATATTCTCTATTAATTGGTTATCAGTTCTTGTTAAAAAGCGCCACAGATGTGTACACACATGTAGCATGTGAGTACCTATGTGTATAATGTATATTTAAAATTATGTAAAATATTATAAAAATAATAAATATAAAATATAAATATATAATATAATTATATAAAAAACTGTATTTCCTATCAGTACATAGAACTTGCTTTCCTATTTCTGTGTGTGCACACATGCACTAAACACGTGTTCCACCACCGAGCTACACTCCCAGCCCACCTTTATCTTTTGAAACAATTGTATAACACTCAGCCCGTGTAGACAATTATTTAACTAACTTAACAGCTGGACAATTTGATTAGGCCCCTTTGTGCTCTGAGCATCCTGAATCCTAGATGGATGATGGTAGCTTGCCACGTCCCTCCCTCACAAGCTCGGGGTCCTCCGAGAACAGCAGAGGTCTCTGTTTACCCCCGAGCCTCCAGGCGCCTGCCCAACTCTCAGGCAGGACAGCCCGAACAGTGTCCTGCGTGCTCTAACAAAGGCCTGCACAGCAGCCGCTGCAGGCAGAAGGGAAGGAACCGATTAAAGATGGCCGAGTAATTTCCGCAGATGAAATGTACAGATGCAGGTGAGCAGCAACACCCGCCTCCTGGGAACTTGATTCTGAAGATCTGGAGGAAGAGCTTCTCCTGCTTCCCCATTTCCCTCCTCCAGGTTTCCCTGGGTCTCAAAATCTCAGGTGCTGATTCATAGGGACAAGAATATCCTACCAAGTCCTTGACATCTGCTGGTGTATTGGTCAGCAAGAGCCACAATAATGCTGTATAACAAGCCATTCCACAGCTGAGTGGCATTCCAGCAGTTATTATTATTATTATTGTTTTGCTCTCATGCCTGTGGTTTCTCTTGGCATTTGCTGCCATAGTCTGCTTAATTCCAGAATGTAGAACTGGCTCCTCGTGGGTCTGTTCTGTGGCTAGGCAGAGGGCACAGAGGGCTCCTGGTGGGGCCCTTCTCATGGCACTGCCAGAGATGCAAGCCAGGAGGCTGGCTGCACAAATGCACTTGAAAGTTTTGCTGCACTAGCTTCTAGAATCTGTTGGTCACAGCAGGTCCCACAGCCAGCTCCAGCCTCAGCGGGGCAAGAAGCACACCACCCTCGGGAGCGCGGTCTGCAGTGAAGGAGCTTGTTGAACAGAAGTCTCGCCTTCCTCACTGGCTAGACCACCGGCCTCAGAGTGGTGGTGGCTCGTCATGATAGCACTGGGTGGGCTGGCTTTCTGGGGCATGCGTCTCAGTCATCTGCTTGGCAAGGTCTGCCCTGGTCGTTGTCAAGATCTTCATTTTTCCCAAGGTGATCTGAATATTAACTGCCCATTCCCTTAGTGAATGCCGGAGGGCGGCACTGCTGCGGGCCAGTCGTGGTCACACCAGCCTTGCCAGTGGACAGGCATTTCCTGAGCGCCCACTATGTGACAAAATCAAGGCTGGGCGGGCACAGAGGTACAAGGAGGAATGAGGTATGAGCCTGCGAGCAGTCGCCAGACTTGGCGAAGCAGATTCAAGCGAGGAACAGAAAGTCCACGCTGCTGGGAAGGCAGGGATCTCTTCCTCCAGCTCTAGCTAAAGCCGTGATGACTCAGTCAGATCCTCCGTGAGTCCAGGATGATGTGCGGGCTCCCCGCTGCATTCTGCTAACACAGCCCCCAGGGAGATTTGTCCCAAGTTGCTCAAGGTGATTTTTTGGTGGGTGGGTGCGGGGATGATCCCAGAGCCTTCCTTTTGAGCTACGTGCCCCACCCTTTTGTTATATTTTATTTCGAGACAGGGTCTTGCTAACTTGTCCCGGCTGGGCTTGAATTTGGTCTGCCTGGCTCAGCCTTGCAGAGTGCCGGGATTACAGGCACCAGCCAGGCTGCTGGTGAAAGTTTGATATGGGCAAGTCCCCAGAACCCATGTCTCAGGTTAAGCTGGTCTTTCACTGTGATGAATGAATGAATAAATGAATGATCAAAGGAATGAATGAAACCCCTTACGATTCGTAGTCACCAACCCCACTGCACCAGTCTGGCTGCCAAGCCAACGGCTTCCCATCAGTCTATTTGCCTGGGTCTATCTGCAACACGGAACTGCCCTGACCAGGTTTATGGAGTCCTGTGGTATGCACAGGTCTTGTGGGCGTCCCTGCTCCCCATTTCTTCCTCTGCACATCTCCTCTGCCCACCTCAACACCCCCAGGCTTCCTTCCCATGCTGTGCTCACCTCCTTCCTCACTCTGACACTCTCACCTCTTCATAGATGATTTTATCCACCCTGTGCTGACAAGCACCTTCAGACTAAAGTCATTTTAATCTTTAAAAATCCAGGTAGGCATGTATAATGGTTTAAGAACGTCAAAA